CGCCAGCACCCTGGCGCCCTTGCTGCAGAGATACTCGATCGTCGGGATCGAAGCCGTGATGCGCGTGTCATCCGTGATCTCCAGGTCCGCGTTCAGGGGCACGTTGAGGTCGCACCGGATCAGTACTGTCTTCCCCTTCAGGTCCGCCTCCCCCAGGTCCGCCACGGACTTCTTGACCTCAACCTTCTCGTCCAGCGCAGCCACCCCTGGCAGCACCTTGCCCTCCAGCAGCTCCAGGCTGGCACCGCCCCCAGTGGAGATGTGCGACATCTTCGGCGCCAGGCCGGACTTGTTCACCGCGGACACGGAATCACCGCCACCAATAATGCTGATGGCGCCATTCTTCTCCGTCAGCTCGGCGATGCACTCCGCCACGTCGTAGGTGCCCTTGCTGAACTGCGGGCTCTCGAACACGCCCATCGGGCCGTTCCAGATGATGGTCTTGCAGTCCGCAAGAGCAGCCTTGATCTGCTCGGTCGCCTTCGGCCCGTTGTCCAGACCGAGCCAGCCGTCTGGGATCGCATCCGCGGGCACCACCTTGACGTTCACCTCTTTGCCCCCCGCGGGGAACTCGTCGCCGCAGGCGATGTCGCTCGGAAGGATGATCTCGACGCCCTTGGCCTTGGCCTGCTCCTCCAGTTTCTTGACAACTGGGATGAGGTCGTCCTCCACCAAGGAGTTCCCGACCGAGAGGCCGCGTGCCTTCAGGAACGTGAACACCATGCCTCCGCCGATGATTACCTTGTCTACCTTCTCCAGCATAGACTCGATCACTGGGATCTTCGTGCTCACCTTGGCGCCGCCCACGATAGCCGCCATCGGCTTCACCGGGCTGTCCACGGCACCCTTCAAGTAATCCAGCTCCTCTGACTACACGGCTGGGCCGCAGGATGGAGTGGGAGAGATGATACGTTCCAATCTCTGGAACCTGCAACTGGGACCATGCAGAAGCTACTTTCTGTATGGTTCGCAACCGCGCTTGCATCAGCAGGTTTGTGTCAAGCGTGGTACTGCCTAATTCGCCACCGTGTCGTCTGCACTGAATGGAGTGTCCCGAGGTACCTTCTAGCATAGGTAATGCTGCCTAACAAGCCCAGGGCTGCGAATGCCTGCTTTGCTCGAGTTACTAGCATGACTATTGGTGAGGGTTGCATGACTATCCCACATGCCAGATAAGCCAAGAGGTTCCCAAGAGGCCCCCGAGACGGTCCAAGAGAGCTCCGAGTCGGCCCAAGAACGCCCCAAGACGCCCAAGATGCCATCCGGACCGCCCAGGAGGCCGTTCGATACGTCCTCCGCACACCGAGGCTTATCGGTAGGGCGGGCTCGCCTGAGACTTCCTCTCCATTCATGATCCCGAAATGAAGAAATTGGAGTGTTCTACGGATAGGGCGCGGGCCGCTTTCAAAATGTGGCTCTCGCCTTCGCGTCGCGCACATTCGTGTTTTAAAGATGCAGGAGCTTCACGGGAAGAGGGGGGGCCGCTTTCAAAATGTGGCTCCCGCCTAGTGTCGCGCACATTCGTCTTAAAGAAATGCAGATGAATCACGGATGGAAGGCGGTCCGCTTTCATGATAAGGCTGTCCCGTGACCCGTGCACATTCGTTTACAAGAACTGCAAGTGCTTCACGGATTGGTCACCTTCCCAGAACGTGCGGTGTTGTGGCACGATGTCGGACTGACAGAGCGCGACAGTAACGTGGATTCGCAGTGGTGAAGTCCCAGGAAAGGTGTCATGGCGTGGTTCAAGATAGTCAAGACGCAAGAGACATTGTGATTCGCGGCGTTAAGGTCCAAGGAATGGAGTTCTGGCGCAGTTCAAGATTTTCAACGGTTTGTCTTCCAACAGGGCACTTCCCCCATTGAATACGTATCCCCGTATGGGGCCTATGCAGAGGAAATGTGAAGGGAGGGTTTATTGAAATCCGCCGATCTGGCGTATGAGTTTCTGAGAGCGTGGACTTGCTGAGCTCGCTCATGCTTCGCTCTGCAGGGGGGGGGGGGAACGCCATTCCCGACGCCATTCAGTGCTCGGGAACCGGGGGGAGGGTTCGCTCTGCATAGGGGGCGGGGTGGACGAGTGCTCGGGAGCCGGGGGGGCTCGCTCTGCAAGGAGGGGGGGGGGAATGTGCCATTCCCGACGCCATTCAGTGCTCGGGAGCCGGGAAGGGGGGGGCGTTCGCTCTGCAAGGGCCGTGGGGTGGGGGGGACGCCATTCCCAGCGCCATGCACTGCTCGGGGGCGGGGGGGCTTCGCTATCGACGGTCCCAGAGGCCCCCGAGACCACGTCAGGCTGCGAAAGAGGCTCCCAAGACGACCAAAAAACGGCCAAGAAGCGCCCTCCACTCCTCCTCCTCCCCCATCTCCTCCTCCTCCTCCTCTCCTCCTCTTCTCCTCCTCTTCCTCTCCCCTCCTCCTCCTCGTCCTCCTCCTCCTCCTCCTCCTCCTCCTCCTCCTCTTCCTCCGCCTCCTCCTCCTCCTCCTCTTCCTCCTCCTCATCCTCCTCCTCCTTCTCCTCCTCTTCCTCCTCCTCCTCCTCCTCCTCCTCCCTCCTCATGCTCCGTCCTCTCTGCTCCTCCTCCTTCACCTCGCCCTCCCGAGACTTACGCGCCACCGCCTCCTCGCGCCGTGCTCGCCGCTCCGCGGCGCGCGGGGGCCCGGGCCAGGGGCCCCCCCGGTGCGGGGCTCCGGGAGGGAGGCGCCCAAAAAGGCGGGCCTCGACGGGCGTCTCTTGGGCAGCATCCGCCAGCACCAGATCGGCGGGTCGGATGGACTCGGCGCAAGGCGTGGCCTCCTCCCCCTCCTCCCCTTCTCCCTTTCTCCCTCCTCCCTCCTCCCTCCTCCCCCCTACCTCTTGCCTCCTCCTTCCTCCCTCCTCCCTCGTCCTCCCTCATCCATCCTCTTCCCCCATCCTCACAAAAGCCAACAACAGCCCAAGGACAGCCCCTTGATGAGCTCCACAAGATGTGGAGGCGGAAGACACAGCATATGATGGCCTACCTCTTCCTCTTCATCAGATTCATCATAACCGTCGTCATCAACATCCCCACCACCCTCACCATGGTCAACGTGTTATCATCATCATCATCATCATCATCATCATCATCATCATCATCATCATCATCATCATCATCATCATCATCATCATCATCATCATCATCATCAATCATCATCATCATCATCAGTCATCAATCATCATCATCATCATCATCATCACATCACATCATCATCATCATCATCCTCATCCTGTCATCCATCATCCTCATTCTCATCATCATCATCATCATCATCATCATCATCATCATCATCATCATCATCATCATCATCATAATCATCATCATCATCATCATCATCATCAGCAGCAGCATCATCATCATCAGCAGCATCATCATCGTAATCATCATCGTCATCATCAGCATCATCATCATCGTCATCATCATCGTTGTAATCATCATTCTCAGCAGCAGCATCATCATCGTCATCATCATCAGCATCATCAGCATCATCATCATCATAATCATCATCATCATCATCACCATCGCCGTCCTCACCAAATGCATCATCTTTAGTACCCTGAGAATTCACATCATCAACATCAACACCAACGTCATCATTATTATCAGCATCATTGTGGGCACACCGCTATCATCATCACAACCACCATCACCATCACCAGCATCGCAATCCTGATTCTCGACGTCGTCATCACCATCTTCATGCTCTTCACCATGTTCATTACCATACTAAACATTATCATAATCATCATCATCAGCATCATCATCAACATCATCATGACCATCATCATCATCATCATCATCATCATCATCATCATCATCATCATCATCATCATCATCATCACTATCCCGAGCGCCCCGGATCGGCGGCACTGGCCGGAGGTCAGCACAAGATCGTTGATGCGTCTTGGGTTTACGCTGGCCCTCCTCCTCCTCTTATTCGTCCACATCCTCATCCTAGTCCTCCTCCTCCTCATCATCATCGCCACCACCATTGTCATCAACATACTCATCCTCATCCTCATTATCATCTTCGTTCAATCGTCTTCCTCGTCTTGCCCTCTTCTTGCAAGCAATTCTGACAGCATGCGCTGCTCACTCGACCAGTTCCACTGTCCCTATCGTGGCTTCCACCCACAAGTTCAATCCCACCCCACCCGTACATTGGCACCCTTGCCACTACCAGCATCACTCCAACCACTCCGCCGGCCCCACCAAGACCGTTCCCCAATCCAAGGGGGCCGCGTAACACTGCGCCCGATCTTTGGAAACTATGTTATCTATCAGGGATCGGGCCCCCCCCATCCACCAACTGCACCAGTATCGCGATTTCCCCTCCAGGGAATACGCGCCAGACCGCGTCCGCTATGCAAGCGCCATGTGAACCATTATGGATCCTGCCCCTCCCACTCCACCAGCCGCACCAACGCCGCAACTGCCACTGCGCCCGCTATGCGGATACACTCTTGCTTATCAGGAGTCGCGACCCTCCCCCTCCACCAGCCCCGCCAGTGTCGCGTTTGCTCCTCCACGGAGGCCGCGCCAGGCCGCGCCCGCCATGCAGACCCCCGCTACTCATCAGGGGACCGCGCTTCTCCGACCACCCCACCAGCCACACCAATGTCGCGTTTGCCCCTCCACGGAGGCCGCGCGAGACCGCGCCCGCCCTGCGGATGCCCCGTCAATTACTAGGGGTTCGTGCCTCTCCCCATCCACCAGCCCCACCAATGCCCACGATGCCTCTCCAAAGAAGCCGGGGATGGACGACCGCGGACGCCAAGCCGATACCGTGTTATTCCGGTAGGCGGCGGAGAATACGATTTGCAAAGAGGACGCGGCCGCAAAAAAAATGACCCCAGCCGGGATGCGCATTTGCCACATCCAGGAGTGAAGCCTGGAGGTGCGATAAAAGGCCGTTGGAAAAGGAAACTGCAACAGCGCTGTCATGAAGGAGCTTGCAAAGACTCACTGAGCGAAAATCAAGGGTCGTGCCCCTCCCGCGTCCTACCAGCTTCACCACTGGCCGGTCTGCCCCTCCGCGCGAGGCCGCGCCAGACCATCGCCCGCCTTGCGGATACCCTGTGGTTTTGTCGGGGAGCGTGCCCCTCACACTCCACCGGCCCCGCCGATACAGCATGTGCCCCTCCAGGGAAGCCGCCCTCCGAGAGGCCGAAAGACCCTGCTTCCGAGATGCACGCCGAGAGGCCCTGTGCAGACCAAAACGTGTTCGTTCGTTTGTTCAACATGTTGCGTGTCCTAGGCTCTTCGGTCGAAGATCAGTCCACTGGAGATCTTCGAGGGCCCAAAGGGGGCCAACCGAGAAGCCCAAGAGGTCGCCCACCCGGCTCAGGACGGTCCCAAGAGAGCCCCAAGCTGGCCCAAGAGGGTCTCTGGAGGGACCCAGGACGGCCTACCGTCGGGGCGTGAACCTAACAGACCCTAAATAAGGAACGAGGCCCCTTTTTTCCATAAGTTAAACTTCGATGTCCTATTGAAAACCTGAGGAAAACCTGAGGCAAGCTGCGAAACAATTAAGGAACACGGAGCCCCTCCCCAATGAAAAGGGTTCCTTCTTCAGCGCCCCGACTGTAAGAGTGCCCTTAGACGACGCACAGAGGCCGCAAGGTAGCCACGACGCGCACAAGCCCCTGCCAGGTGCCCAAGTTGTCGCAAGAGGCCTCAGAGAAGCTCCAGGACACTCACGAGGTACGCTCTCCAGGAGGCCCTCGAGGGACCAAAACGCATTGATAGCCCTCAGGTCTTCTAATAAGGTAGTCTAGGGCGCTTCCTCTTATCACCCCCTTCTTCCCCTTTGTGGAGAAGTTAATCACTGTTCCTTACAAATATACACCCGATCCCCCATCCGGCCGGCGTCCAACCAGGAACCAGGAAGGCCCGCCCCCCACCATCCCTGTCAAAAAACAATACAAACCGCACTCTGCCTCCCCATTTGGAGCATGCGCGGCCAACCCGATGCGGCCCCCCTCCACCATCACTGTCAAAAAACAATGCAAGTACTATTTGGGGCAAAATCTTGAGTCATGTTCATGGGGCCCGCAGGGGGTGCGGGGGTGTCAGCATATTCTCTGCTGTGCGCAGGGCTACCATCCCTGACAAAAAAAAAACACTACAACATGCACCTCGCGGCAAAATCTGGATCATCGCGGCCATCCCGCGATCACTGTCAAATGGTTGTTGACAGGGACGGCGGGGGTGGTGGCGCGTGGCCTGCTGTGCGCAGGCCCACCAGACACAATGATGGGCATCGGTTTTCGACAAGGATGGCGGGGGCCGACATGATTCCCGACATGTGCTGTCACGTGCACAGACGCACCTGGCACACTCTGCACGTGCCCCGAGCATGGCGCACCTGACGCGGCTGGAATGTGCGGCACACCTGCCGCACTCGGAGCACGTAGCGCATCTGACGCACCAGGCGTGCCTGGCACGCTCGGGCCCCAGGGGTGCCTGGCGCGCGTGGTGCCCCTGGCACGCGTGGCGCACCTCGCCCAAGCGTCGCGCACCTGGTGTCAGCTTTGGTTCCCAGTAGCTGCCCATCAAAAGACGACCGCTGAACATGCTCAGGCTCGGGTGTTACTTCTGTGTTGGGAGGGCGGGTGGGAGTGAGCTAGACGGTTTGCGGGCGGGTGGGTAGCTTGACCCCTACCCCTACCCCCTCCCCTGGATCTGGACGGGGGGGCCGCGATGCGTTGGAGCGTCCAAAACAGCATCGGCGAGGAAGCCAAAGTCACTGGTTTTACTAAGGTTTTGGCCCATTTTGGCCTCTTGGGGGGGCAACGCTAATCAAAGCTCACCTCTTGTTTGATCGATGTCCTCCAAGATGGCCCTAAGACCTCCGAAGGCTCCCAAGAGCGCTTCGAGAGGGCCCCACCCCAAGAGGCGCCTAGGAGGCCCCAGGAGGCCCCAAGAGGCGCCACCCCTTTCCCCCAGTCCTTCTTCAGCAAGAAGCCCGAGACGCTCGGCTTCAGGAACTTGGTCACGCCCTCGGTGGAGGAGTGCGCGCGGTGCGCGGTGCCGAACGCGTCGTTCACGAACAGGTCCGCCAGGCTGGCCATGCTCTCCGCCAGCTCAGGGTCGTTCTTGGTCTCTCCCTTGTAGAACCGAGTGTTCTCCAGGATCAAAACGGCCCATTCTCGCTCATGCCGACACCATCCCCTTCCAACCTCGTCCGTGCCTTGCAGGTCCGGGCGCACTTGATGTTCCCACCCTTCTTCTCAGCTCCCCATCCTTCGCCACTGGCTTCAGCGAGAACTTCTCCTCGGGCCCGTCCTTGGGGCGGCCCAGGTGGGAGCATGCCAGCACCTTGGCGCCCTTGCTGCAGAGGTACTCTATCGTCGGGATCGAGGCCGTGATGCGCGTGTCGTCCGTGATCTCCAGGTCCGCGTTCAGGGCTACGTGGAGTCGCACCGGAATCAGCACCGTCTCCCCTTGAGTCCTTCTCGCCCAGGGCCTCCACGGACTTATTGGCCTGCAGGCTGTCCTGAAGCCTGGTGACCTTGCGCTGTCCAGCAGGAAAGCGCGGCGGAGGATCTCCTTCTCGCCCAGTGGCAGCCTCCCCAGGCAGCACCTGGGCCCTCCAGCATCCAGGCTGGCACCGCCCTCCAGTGGAGATGTGCGCACATCTTCAGGCGCCAGCCCGGACTTGTTCACACCGCGGACAACACGGAGCACCGCCACCAATGATGCGGGATGGGCGCGTTCTTTTCCTCAGCTCGGCGTATGGCACTCCGCCACGACGTAGGTGCCCCTTGGCTGAACTCTGCGGGCTCTCGAACACGCCCATCGGCCCGTTCAGATGATTCCGTCTTGCAATCCGCCAGTAGACGCAGCCTTGATCTCATCGTCGCCTCGAGCCGTTGCCGAAGGCCAGAGCCAGCCGTCCGCGGGATATCATCCGCGGGCACCACCTTGTAGTTCACCTCTTTGCCCCCCGCGGGGAACTCATCGCCGCAAGCGATGTCGCTCGGGAGGATGATCTCGACGCCCTTAGCCTTGGCCTGCTCCTCCAGCTTCTTCACAACTGGGATGAGGTCGTCCTCCACCAGGGAGTTCCCGACCGAGAGGCCGCGTGCCTTCAGGAAGGTGAACACCATGCCTCCGCCGATGATCACCTTGTCAACCTTCTCCAGCATGGACTCGATCACCGGGATCTTCGTGCTCACCTTGGCGCCGCCCACGATGGCCGCCATTGGCTTCACCGGGCTGTCCACGGCGCCCTTCAAGTAGTCCAGCTCCTCCAGGACTGGGGAAGTGGGAAAGTGAGAACCGAACGTGACCTTGAATCCGTGAAAATTGGCACAGGAAACAATCACCTGAAAACGTAACATAGCTTTCTAGGGTGGACTCCACCATCTGCCGTCCACCATGCCCGCGGCTCGCAATGAGCCTGACCTGACTAGGATACCGGACAGCCACCACTCAAAAGAGGCGGCTCAGAGAAGCTCAAGGAGACCGTGACCCCGCTAACCTAACGACACTATCTTGTGTGCCATCTGACCGCAGCTGGTCGCAGGAACAATCGGATGCCAGGCTGATCTGCCAGACAGCGTGTCGAAAGCATGCAGCCGAATCAAGCCTGAGAAGCCTACATCAACCACCAGACACACGGAAGACCAGGGCCACCAGCAGTCCTGCCTCCAAAGCTAGCACTTACCCGACTAACACCTCTCCAGGGGCTCCACCTCAACCCCGCCATTTCCCCCCCCAGTTCCTTCTTCAGCAAGAAGCCCGAGACGCTCGGCTTCAGGAACTTGGTCACGCCCTCGGTGGAGGAGTGCGCGCGGTGTGCGGTGCCGAACGCGTCGTTCACGAACAGGTCCGCCAGGCTGGCCATGCTCTCCGCCAGCTCAGGGTCGTTCTTGGTCTCTCCCTTGTAGAACCGAGTGTTCTCCAGGATCAAAACGTCTCCCTCGCTCATGGCCGACACCATCCCCTTCACCTCGTCCGTGGCCTTGCAGTCCGGGGCGCACTTGATGTCCTTCTTCATCAGCTCCCCCATCTTCTTCGCCACTGGCTTCAGCGAGAACTTCTCCTCGGGCCCGTCCTTGGGGCGGCCAAGGTGGGAGCACGCCAGCACCTTGGCGCCCTTGCTGCAGAGGTACTCGATCGTCGGGATCGAGGCCGTGATGCGCGTGTCGTCCGTAATCTCCAGGTCCGCGTTCAGGGGCACGTTGAGGTCGCACCGGATCAGCACCGTCTTCCCCTTGAGGTCCGCCTCGCCCAGGTCCTCCACGGACTTCTTGGCCTGCAGGCTGGTCCTGGAAGCCTTGGGGACCTTGCGCTGTCCGCAGAACGCCGCGGCGGCCATCTCCTTCTCGTCCAGCGCAGCCACCCCTGGCAGCACCTTGCCCTCCAGCAGCTCCAGGCTGGCACCGCCTCCAGTGGAGATGTGCGACATCTTCGGCGCCAGGCCGGACTTGTTCACCGCGGACACGGAGTCACCGCCACCAATGATGCTGATGGCGCCGTTCTTTTCCGTCAGCTCGGCGATGCACTCCGCCACGTCGTAGGTGCCCTTGCTGAACTGCGGGCTCTCGAACACGCCCATCGGGCCGTTCCAGATGATCGTCTTGCAATCCGCCAGAGCAGCCTTGATCTCCTCGGTCGCCTTCGGGCCGTTGTCCAGGCCGAGCCAGCCGTCCGGGATATCATCCGCGGGCACCACCTTGTAGTTCACCTCTTTGCCCCCCGCGGGGAACTCATCGCCGCAAGCGATGTCGCTCGGGAGGATGATCTCGACGCCCTTAGCCTTGGCCTGCTCCTCCAGCTTCTTCACAACTGGGATGAGGTCGTCCTCCACCAGGGAGTTCCCGACCGAGAGGCCGCGTGCCTTCAGGAAGGTGAACACCATGCCTCCGCCGATGATCACCTTGTCCACCTTCTCCAGCATGGACTCGATCACCGGGATCTTCGTGCTCACCTTGGCGCCGCCCACGATGGCCGCCATTGGCTTCACCGGGCTGTCCACGGCGCCCTTCAAGTAGTCCAGGGTCCACTCCTCCAAACTGGGGAGTTGGGGAAATGAGAACACGAACGCGGACCTGAATCCGTTAAAGATTGGCACAGGAAACAATCACCTGAAAACGTAACCATAAGCTTTCCTAGGTTGCTCCACCATCTGCCGTCCACCATAGCCGCGGCGCGGCAGAGAGCCTGAACCTGAATAGATAGCGGACAGCCACCACTCAAAAGAGGCGGCTCAGAGAACTCAAGGAGACCTACCCGCTAACCTATCGACATATCTTGTGTGCCATCTGACCGCAGCTGGGTCGCAGGACAATCGATCGTGGGCTTTGATCAGCCAGCCGGCTGGTGTCGTAACAGCCGATCAATCCTGTGAAGCACGAACATCACCACCGAGAAACCAAGCGGAAGACCAGGGCAACAGCATGAGAGCCAGACCACATTGCACACTTACCCCGACTGCACCTGCGCCAGGGGCGTCCATCCTCAAACCCCCCATTCCCCGTTCCCCCCCCCAGTCCTTCTTCAGCAAGAAGCCCGAGACGCTCGGCTTCAGGAACTTGGTCACGCCCTCGGTGGAGGAGTGCGCGCGGTGCGCGGTGCCGAACGCGTCGTTCACGAACAGGTCCGCCAGGCTGGCCATGCTCTCCGCCAGCTCAGGGTCGTTCTTGGTCTCTCCCTTGTAGAACCGAGTGTTCTCCAGGATCAAAACGTCTCCCTCGCTCATGGCCGACACCATCCCCTTCACCTCGTCCGTGGCCTTGCAGTCCGGGGCGCACTTGATGTCCTTCTTCATCAGCTCCCCCATCTTCTTCGCCACTGGCTTCAGCGAGAACTTCTCCTCGGGCCCGTCCTTGGGGCGGCCCAGGTGGGAGCACGCCAGCACCTTGGCGCCCCTTCTTGCAGAGGTATCTCGATCGTCGGGATCGAGGGCCGTGATGCGCCGGGTCGGTCCGTAATCCCAGTCCGCGGTTCAGGGCACGTTGAGAGGTCGCACCGGATCAGCACCGTCTTTCCCTTCAGGTCTGCCTCGCCGAGGTCCTCCCCGGACTTCTTCACGCTGGGGGCTGCCTTGGGGGCCGCGGCAGCCTTGGGGGCCGTGGCAGCCTTGGGGGCCGCGGCAGCCTTGGGGGCCGCGGCGGCGGCCGTGTCCTTGTCATCCAGCGCAGCCACACCCGGCAGCACCTTGCCCTCCAACAGCTCCAGGCTGGCACCGCCGCCTGTGGAGATGTGCGACATCTTCGGCGCCAGGCCGGACTTGTTCACCGCAGACACGGAGTCCCCGCCACCGATGATGCTGATGGCGCCGTTCTTCTCCTCAGCTCGCGATGCACTCCCCACACGTAGGTGCGCCTTGCTGAACGGCGGGGCTCTCGAACACGCCCATCGGGCCGTTCCAGATGATCGTCTTGCAATCCGCCAGAGCAGCCTTGATCTCCTCGGTCGCCTTCGGGCCGTTGTCCAGGCCGAGCCAGCCGTCCGGGATATCATCCGCGGGCACCACCTTGTAGTTCACCTCTTTGCCCCCCGTGGGGAACTCATCGCCGCAAGCGATGTCGCTCGGGAGGATGATCTCGACGCCCTTGGCCTTGGCCTGCTCCTCCAGCTTCTTCACAACTGGGATGAGGTCGTCCTCCACCAGGGAGTTCCCGACCGAGAGGCCGCGTGCCTTCAGGAAGGTGAACACCATGCCTCCGCCGATGATCACCTTGTCCACCTTCTCCAGCATGGACTCGATCACCGGGATCTTCGTGCTCACCTTGGCGCCGCCCACGATGGCCGCCATTGGCTTCACCGGGCTGTCCACGGCGCCCTTCAAGTAGTCCAGCTCCTCCAGGACTGGGGAGCAGGGAAAGTGAGAACCGAACGCGACCTTGAATCCGTGAAAATTGGCACAGGAAACAGTCACCTGAAAACGTAACATAGCTCTCTAGGGTGGCCTCCACCATCTGCCGTCCGCCATGCCCGCGGCTCGCAATGAGCCTGACCTGACTAGGATACCGGACAGCCACCACTCAAAAGAGGAGGCTCAGAGAAGCTCAAGGAGACCGTGACCCCGCTATCCTAACGACACTATCTTGTGTGCCATCTGACCGCAGCTGGTCGCAGGAACAATCGGATGCCAGGGCTTGATCTGCCAGACGGCTGTGTCGTAACTTGCGAATCATCCTGAGAACCTACATCACCACCAGACCCACTGAAGACCGTGGCACCAGCGAGTCCTTGCCTCAAAGCAACACGTACCCGAACTACACCTCTCCAGGGCGTCCATCTCAAACCCCCCATTTCCCCCCCCCAGTCCTCTTCAGCAGGAAGCCCGAGACGCTCGGCTTCAGGAATTTGGTCACGCCCTCGGTGGAAGAGTGCGCGCGGTGCGCGGTGCCGAACGCGTCGTTCACAATCAGGTCGGCCAGGCTGGCCATGCTCTCCGCCAGCTCAGGATCGTTCTTGGTCTCTCCCTTGTAGAACCGAGTGTTCTC